CGAATAGCTAGGCGGGCAAGGGCATCGCGGGTCTGCCATTCAGCGCGTTCAGAGGCAGGAGCAGTAGCAGCGGGAGCAGGGGCAGTGCCATGCTCCGTCCTTGGTATTAGTCAAAAGGTAGAGCTGCAAGTCACTGAGCCAGGTGTCAAACTGAACAGGACTACCGTCAGGCTCAAAGTCGAGAACAGAAATAGTCGCCATGGTCACAGGGCGGGGAAATGCAGCAGGCACAGGCTCAGGCTCAGGCTCAGGCGCAGGCTCAGGCAGCAGGCAACTGAAGTAGGCTTTGTCAGAATACTAGCGTAAGAATGGTGCATTGAAAGAAACAGTTGGGTACAAGTAGCTAACCCTAGTTGGGTTTGTACCCTGTATTGGCTACCCCACTACAGCCTACCAACATATAACACATTACAACTTAACACACCCCCATAGGCAAAGTGGGGGAGAACAACGGGTCACAAGACCAGTCCAGCAAAGCAAAACAAGCCCAGGGTGGATCACAACGTCACCACACTCCGAGCACAAGCAAAGGCCACAAGGCCAGTTCACATGCAGTACTAGATATAGTACAAGACAAGCAACAAGATATATATAAAGTACAGTACAAAGAAAGTCAAGCAGTAAGCAAATGAGGGAATGTGGACACAAGGCCTAAAGAAGTACAGTGCCGCTGATGATCACTAGGCGGGAGCGCCTTGGTGAAGATATCAGCAGTGTTGGCCTTCGAGTCCACGTACACAAGCCGAAGCTGACCATGCTGCTGCAGCTCTCGAGCAAGAAAGTAGCGAAGAGCAATGTGCTTCGTCCTGTGCTCCAGTCTGTGCTCCTGACACAAGGCAAGGGCCGCCTTGTTGTCGCCGTACAGAACTGGAGGAGAACTAGGCCGCTCTCCCAAGTCAGTCAGCAGGTAGGTGAGCCAGCGTAACTCCTGTGCAGCCATGGCCGTGGCGTAGATCTCAGCCTCACAACTAGAGCTGAGAACAGAAGAAGAGCGGGTGGACCGCCACGAGACAGAACCAGAGCCAAGGCTGAAGGTGTAACCCTGCGACGACCGCTGCGTAGCCAGGTCGTCCACCCAAGAAGCGTCCGAGTGACCAGTGAGGACAACTCTGTCGCGTCCTCCAAGCACCAGCCCCATGCCTGATGTACTGCACAAGTAACGCAGCACCCTCTTAGCAGCCTCCCAGTGCTCTCGCCTGTGTCTCCCAGGCGCAACGTAACGAGCAAGGATGCTAAGAGGGTACGCGAGGTCAGGTCGCGTGCAAGTCATCAGGTACATGAGGCAGCCTACAAGCTCTGGGTACGGGCCACTCGGCTCTACGGACTCGTCCGAAGGTGGAGCTGAGAGCGAGTGGCTGGTAGCCAGAGGTGTGGCCTGTGGTGAGGAGAACTGGAAGCCGAAGCGCTGAAGGACCTGCTGCACCATGTGTGACTGAGTCAGGGTAATGGTGCGGCGTGCTCTGTCCCGAGTGATCTGCAAGCCAAGGTAGCTACGCAGCTCACCCAGGTCAGTGCAGGTGTGTCTCTTCTGCAGCTCCGACTTCACACGAGCGAGTGCCTCAGTGTCAGCAGTAGCAAAGACCAAGTCGTCGACGTACACGAGGATGTAGAACGGCGGCAGCGACGTGTCTGTGCGCAGGAACAGTGACGGGTCAGCAGTGGAAGGAGCAAACCCAAGAGCCGCAAGTGTAGTCCTCAGTGTGTCGTGCCACTCGCGTGGCGCCTGGCGGAGACCGTAGACTGGCCGCCGGAGGCTCCACTGGGTACCAGGAGGAAACGACCCAGTAAAGCCAGGTGGGCGGCGCAGCCAGATCTCCTCGTGCAGGCTGCCCTGCAAGAACGCTGTGCTGAAGTCAAGAGAGTGAAGCTCGTAGTCACGCTGAGCGGCAACGTGCAGCAGAACCCGAAGAGTGGTCATCTTCGGGGTGGGGGAGAAGGTCTGGAAGAAGTCAACCCCCTGACGCTGACTGAAGCCTCTAGCAACGTAACGAGCCTTGAAGACAGGTGGAGAACCTGGCGGCCGCTTCACCCTGGCGGCCGCCCCAGGAGGGGGAACCTCGTCGACGTAGGTGCCTGTGGGAACGAACACTAAGCTCAGCTGTGGCAGGAGGGGCAGGCGCAGCACCAGACGCGTAATCATAGAGCGACACATGCTCCTTGCTATCGCTCAGGAGGAACAGCTGCAGGTCATCTAGCCAAGTGGTGAACTGCACAGGGCGGCCCTCAGCATCGAACGACAGCACGCGAATGGAAGCCATAGCGACAGTACGACAGAGCAACGCAAGCTGCCGCAGCAGGGGCGAGCAATTGCGCACGGGCAGGGAGCAGCAGGCGGCGCTGCAAGCGGGCAGCGCGGCGGACGGGCGGCTCTGCGAGCGGGCAGTGCGGCAGGCAGGCGGCGCTGCAGGCGGGCAGCGCGACTGGCGGGCGACTCTGCAAGCGGGCAGCGCGGCGGGCGGGCGGGCAGCGCGACGGGTGGTGCGGGGCACAGCAGGCGGCGCGCGGGGCTGCAAGGCAGCTCGACGGGCTGCGCGGGGCAGAGCGGGCGGCGCGCGGGGCTGCAGAGCCGAGCGACGGGCAGCGCGGGGCAGGGCGGGCAGGTCGCGGGGCTGCGCAGCAGATCGACGGGCGGCGCGGGACACAGCGGGCGGTGCGCGGGGCTGCGAGGCAGCGCGACGGGCAAAGCAGGGGAGGGGGAGGCGCGCGGGGCTCTGGGCTGGCAGGACGCCGGTCGGCAGGGCGCACGAGGGCGCTACAAGGGCGCTACGAGGGCGCTAGGGCGCAACGAGGGCGCTACGAGGGTAGGGCGCGGGGGTAACGCGGTAACCGCAGCGTGCGGTGGTGGGCCCTAAAAAAAAACGATCGGATGGTCCTAGGGACCACCTGCTCTGAATACCATGTCAGAATACTAGCGTAAGAATGGTGCATTGAAAGAAACAGTTGGGTACAAGTAGCTAACCCTAGTTGGGTTTGTACCCTGTATTGGCTACCCCACTACAGCCTACCAACATATAACACATTACAACTTAACAGGCTTCGGCAGCAGGCTCAGGCAGCAGGCAAAGACTTTAGGGTAAGGCAGCAGGCAGGCGCAGGTGAGGCAATATGGTGGCGCCGTCAACTGATAGCAGGCTCAGGCAGCAGGCTCAGGTAGCAGGTAAAGGCTGCAGGCTCAGACAGGAGGCTCAGGGAGCAGGCTCTTAAGGCAGGCAGGCGCTCAAGGCAGGCAGGCGTGCTGCACACGGGCGGCGGTGGCGCACAGGCAGGGCAGGGCACGCGCGGCTGCGAGCTGCGCGCGGGCTGATAGAGCGCGGCGCGGGCTGCGCAGGCAGTGCGCGAGCTGCGCGCGGGCTATGCGGGCTGCGCACGGGCTGCGCGGGCTCGACGCGGGCTGCGCGGGCGGTGCGCCGGGCAGCTGCAGGCCGCGCGCAGGCTGCGCGGGCTCAGGGCGGGCTGCGCTGGCAACTAGCGGGCGCGACGCGGCTGGCAGCTATGGCGCGCGCTAAAAAAAAAAGCTATGCGCGCAGCCGAGGCGCGCGCGGGCAGCAGGCAAGTCTGATAAGGCCGTAGGTGAGGTAACACGGTAACCGGTGGGCACAAATCTTAGGTCCTAAAACCTACTGCTCTAGATACCATCTCAGAACTTAGGCTAGGAATGAGTGCATTAGGTCAAGGAGGGGTACAAGAAGAATGTCGAGAAAAATACTGTACCCCCTAGTGCTACCCCACTACAGCCTACAAGTGTATAACCCCTATATAATTTGACAAATCGTGTGTGCTGCCGCACACGTACGAAAATCCAGGAGGTTCACGACAGTAACGAGGTCGTTCGCACATGGTACTGAAGCCGGATACAGTCACGAAGTGCACTGCCCAACCGGGTAACCTACGAAAGGCTCTCGCGACTCGGTAATTATTGTTCAAAGTTGAACTTCGCTAATCGAACTCTTGTGTGCTGTGTGATACATGTGAAGCGAGGAACAGCGGCTCGAGCAAAATGAATCTACATGGTAGAGCCTAGGTTGACCTAGGTTCAAATGGTAGAAGTTTAACCAAAAAAACGAGTTTTGCACAACACTGTATAAGGACACGCCGCCTAAGGTTTCTCACGGTGCACAATGCACGTGCGATGACTAGGGCAACAGCACTATTACGCAGCTAGTATTTCTTCTACTTCACCCAAGCACCACGTACGTATGCCCAATGCCCAGAAGGCACTACATTAGTTTATCTAGTGCTAGCTCAATTGCAACTACTTGTGTCACGTGAGAAAGCAGTAAATGCTCTTAGCGAAGTCATGTGAATTTCCCCATCATTCCTAAGGCCGCCAAAATGAATCCTTGTGCAGGGCAGGAAATTTTCCATTAATCGTGAAGCTATCACAACAAATGGGCAGAACCTCCATAACGAGCCAACAAGTCCAGCTCATGAGAATTGAAGTCCTCGTGAGACCAGTCACAACCACCTTCCACTGCAGACGGGGTTTCCTGCACCGAAAACTGAAATACTAGGACCCTGAAACCCGGAGAAACCGAAATACACACGCAAAACCGCCAAAAACCCTCCTGAAAGCTCGCAGCAGCAGCTGAAAGCCTGCTATGACGCCAGCTCACATCCAGGCCAGGACTTTCAAGAGTGACAGTCCTCATGACGAGATGCCGAGAGATCGGAACACTTGACGAGCTCTCTTCTCAAACATCGGCCACTGTGACTCCTCGAGTCGCCGAAGACCGTCGGCACGACGAAATCATCGACTAACGAAGCCGTCGAGCTGGAAAACTGGCACATGTCACGCGATCCGCCACCAATCCTCTTCCCCCAACCAAACGAAAAACATACGCAGAACTCCGTAAAACCCCAAGACAACTCAGCAGTAAAAACCGAAAAAGGGCAGCCGATGGAAGAGAAGGGTAGACGCGGATTGAAGACGTGAAGATGCGGCAGAAGTGAAGCGTTGAAGCGATGAAGCGGTGAAGAAGCACAACGAAGACGAAGCTTCCTCACTGCGCCCCCTGAGGGCAGTCACGGGCGATGTGGCCGGGCTGGTTGCATGTGTAGCAAGTACGGGAACCACCGCCACCGGGGGCACCGCCCACACCAGGCGTGGGGCAGTCGCGAGCAAGATGTCCGGGCATGTTGCAATTGTAGCACACACCGGGTCCGCCGCCGAAGCGTCCGCCGCCGCGGCCGCCGCCGAAGCGTCCACCGCCACGGCCGCCGAAGCCGCCGCCGCCGAAGCGGCCGCCACCGCCGCCGTAGCCGTCGCGCCTGGGAGCGCCCTTCACGTAGGAACCAGCCGGGCCGGTAACGTTAACGGCCTTGGTGCGGCCGTCCTCGCTGGTCTCGATGGTGAACTCGACGGCCTCGCCTTCGTCGAGGCTGCGGAAGCCCTCAGCCTTGATGCTCGTCTGGTGGACGAAGAGCTCCTCTCCGCCATCATCGGGAGTGATGAAGCCGAAGCCCTTGGTGCTGTTGAACCACTTCACCTTGCCGGTATGAACGCCGGGAGTGGGAGCGACGTCGGGAGCAGCCATGGTTGCGAAGGTGAAGGGAGTAGAAGCTGAAACGGCTCTGAAAGAGCTAAGCGTAAAATCAAAGCCTGCGAAGGAAAATGAGAATAGTGAGAGCACGTGGGGGTTTTCAAGTGCTGGTGGGGGGGGGGGGAGAGAAGGGGAGAGAGGAGGAGCAGGTTTGGTTGTTGGGAGGAGAACTTGGCTTGGAACTTGGAGGGTGGATGGTTGGAGAGAGGAGGAATCAAAGCCCATTCAGCGACGGCTTTCCAGCCCTACCTCGACGCTGACTGTAAAGCCGCGCCTCGTACCGAAGAGGAAACATTTCCAAAAACAACGAGATTAGAAGACTTTTTCGAATGAGCGGTTAGATCATACGGATCTGATATTTCCTCTTCGATGAGATTTCATTAACCAAGTTCCCGCCACTTTTTTCTGTGGTTGCACAAGGCTGCAACCCTGGCAAAACCCTGGGGTTTCTGGGGAACGATGGGTTCCGTGCTGATCAGATCAGGGGAACTCCCTCCGCCGTCGAGACTCGTCAACATCTAGCCGTTGATTGACGCCTGGCGCATGCGATGTCGATTGGGCGCGAAGAAAAAGGCCAAGCTGCAAAGATATTTTTTGCCTCCGTGGCTGCCCCAGATTTTTTTCCGGTGTTCAGTGTCGTCAAACTGCTGACCTGTGAAGATCCAACGGCAGGCCACTGCTGGATAAACTCTTCCCAACCGAACAGTACGACTTGGCTCGATGTCAGGTTACATTCAGAACAATCGGATCGCACCATTCCGCCAGGTTGGAGGACCAGCATGGCTGCGCTTTGCCAAACCGATCTGTAAGGGCGTGAGCCCAAACGGGTTTGATCGCGACTGATCTGATCGGGTTGGATCTGATCGGGTTGTTGTGATCGTAATGCCCGAGCCGCCCGATCAGAGATGATTTGCGGAGAAGGCTGTTAACGCCTGCTGAGCAAGCGCGATACATTTGCGTGGCATTTTCGTCACCATTTTAGCGAGATTGACGACCAGGCTTCACCTGGCGAAAATCTTCGTTCCACTGTAAGTGCAACATTGTAACTACTCGCAAGCGTCGCTGAGTCCCTCGATCACAGGCAATCAATTGATTGCCTGTGATCGAGGAAAATCGACTCTGATCGGGGTTAAATCGGGTCCGATCGAGGTTGGCGATCAGCTGATCGCGATCAGCTGATTGCCCCTGATTGCCTGAATTTGGCTTCCAGGCTTCCTGGAAATTATTGATCGTGGCTGATCGAGGCGATCAAAGCCGTTTGGGCCCACGCCCTAATTTGGGGAGTCAAAAATACGAGGCTTTCCCATTTGCACCCAATCAATCACCAAATTCATTGCGGTGGGGCTCCATTCTGGGATGCCCAACTTTCTGCACCTGATGTTGTTGGGACCACCTGCCCGGAAAAGTACCCCCCCCAACCTCCATACTTGATGACCTTGACTGCACCGTGCCTGTGCCAAACCTGCAAAGACCGAGCCGAAGTATGCCCTGGTGTGGAAAATGTTCACCTCAACGGGGTCCTGACAGATGCAGAACAGTAAGAATATGGTTCCGTACGGTTACACCAACATCTGCACAAAGGCACCACGCCTAAGCTTGAACCACCTTATAGCGCAGCGTAGGGGAGTGCGAATGAGATCGTACGTTATGCTGGAAACTGAAGATTTCTGCACCTCCTAGTTCTACCCCTGGGTTCTCTTTTCCCCTTCTTTCTCTCCAGCAGAATTTCGTCTCTGCTGGGTTTTGGAGTTTCACTGCTCCAAATAGCAGTGAGGAGGGGTGGTTGCATCAGGAGTAATTTACTAGGAGTGGAGGTGGCATCACAGGGTCAGTTAAAGAAGCAGAGGTTGCGCTCTGCTTTATCTGAGTGAGGTTTAATCTCGCGAGACGCGACACTTAGCCATGGCGGCCACTGACGCTGGTGCACCCGCGGCCCCAGCTAATTCCGCGCCCGGTGGCGTTCGGACAGGAAAGGTGAGAACCATCCTATGTTTAATCTTCATTTAGATAACTAGAACGGGAAATTTCTGTGGCGATGTCTCACTAGCTTGATGCGATGTGAGGTTTTTTTGTCGTTTTATCCACGTCGGATTCCTCGCCTAGATCTGGAGAGTAGGTCGTATGAAACTGCACCTGCTGCCTTAACACTGTCATAGATCCTTAATCAACATCGCCGGTATTGCTCAAGGGTTTATCGTCAGCTCGAGGTAGCTGTACGGATCACCTTATATAGAGTAGGTAAATATCCCTATTAGATCTGACTCGCTGGATGCACGCGAGGGGGCTCACATCCTGGTCTCAACCATTTCAAACCCTTCAATAATTTGCTCAACAGCAGCAAGGGACTCTGATGCTAGGCTGACCCTTGTTTTCGCATTGTCCCTTGCATGGAGTATGTTTCAACTTCACCAAGTGCTTTCGATGCTAGATCCCAACTTTAATTGAGTCTGTGTCGTTTCTGCTCTCTCCCTTCCAGAAACAGTTTGGCACCAAAAAGATCTCCAGGTTCCATTACATTCTACGACGGCATGAAGGATTAGTTTGAGTTACAGACGAGTGTCGAGCCCAAGGGCTTTCCTACCGATGCTAGATCCGAACCATTATCTAGCCAGACTGACCTTCCAGCTCTTTCCGTCCCAGAAGTGGTTGACAAACACCAGAAGATATTGTTTCGGTTAAGTTCTACGACGTCAGCGAGGAGGATCCCCTTCTACCCCACACGAGCTTATCCCAAGAGTCGCCGAAGCTGGATCCGACCTAATTCGTCCATTTTCTGAACCTCTCCCGAACCTGTTCCGACCCTGGCCGCGCAGGTGAAGTGGTTCAACAGCACCAAGGGCTTCGGGTTCATCACGCCGGACGACGGCGGAGAGGATCTGTTCGTTCATCAGACGAGCATCAAGGCGGAGGGCTTCCGCAGCCTCGACGAGAACGAGGCCGTCGAGTTCACCATCGAAACCGCAGCTGACGGCCGCACCAAGGCGATTAATGTCACCGGGCCCGGCGGCGCGTATGTGAAGGGCGCGCCGAGGCGGGACAACTATGGCGGCGGCGGCGGGTACGGCGGCGGCGGGTATGGCGGCGGCGGCGGGTACGGCGGAGGCGGGTATGGTGGTGGGGGATATGGGGGGGATTTCGGCGGTGGGGGAGGATATGGGGGTGCGGGCGGGTATGGCGGGGGGTATGGTGGAGGCCGCGGGGGGAGGTCTGGGGGAAGAGGCGGGGGTGGTAACTGTTACACCTGCGGGATGCCTGGGCACATGGCGAGGGATTGCCCCCAGGGTCCGTCCGGTGGCGCAGGTGGTGGGGGAGGAGGAGGACGCACTTGCTACACTTGCGGCCAGCCTGGGCATATTGCGAGGGACTGCTTGTCTGGCGGGCAGTAGTGCGATGGTGTGCTTATAACGAGGTTGGAGTAGAGGGGTGGTGCTTCTGGCTTGTGTGGTGTAGCCAGAAGAGGGTGTGCATACGTGCATTGGATAGATTTCAATGTGCTATGGGCTAGAAGGCAACAGCGTGTCAATTAGTGAATGCATGTCAATGCATGTATTTGCTTTCGCAGTAGATGGTGCTCAGCTGACTTCAGTGTTGTTTTCATGTTCTGATGCTACTGGTAACACTCGCAGAGCATATCACCCATTCTCTGATGTCCCGGTCGCAGAGCATATCACCCATTCCCGGAGATTTCCCAGTGTGCCAACTTTGGTGGTTGGATCAATCAGCATTGTCTTGGCTGACCCAAACACACGTGCATGGTTCAAAGGGACTGGCTACCGGAGTACACTACCTTGTGCTTGTACAAACCAAGTGACTCAACAAGCCTACAGACTATCTAAATGCTTTTACCCGTATATCACCTTCGTTTGTAGTGAAGTGCCTCTTTGTGGATCACATTTTTAGTGTATAGTGAAATAAAGAAGACCCATTCCCCTTGGACCGTGGTCGGTCTGTACTGCCGCGAAATTTATATAGGGGATGGGTTGCGTGAGGCGTGGAAAGCGAATGGCGAAAGCGAAACATGGCGTGTGTGGTTTGACGATCAATGCGATGTCCCACCATTGGTTACAAGGGATACCTCCCAGCGATTGGGTAACTGAGCAGTTACGTTTCATCTGCCCCCCACCCCCATATGTGGCTCGAATTTTTTCCCACGTCATATCGGAATCAGCCAACCAAGCACGCTGTCAAACTATCCCTCTGCCAATTGCGGGAAGGGGGAATATCAAACGGATGGGGCTGGCTTGTTGAGTTCAAAGAACGGCGTCACACATCGTTGCTTGGCTCCAGCTTTCCGTGAGCACCACTTGCAGTAATGATAGCGTCAAACCACGAAACTGACTGCCCCACGAAATGCACTCATGTGGAGGTTGCCACAGATCCCCCTTCGTTATTGTCACGCTGATCCTTGGCGAGGCGAGCACATACTGTACAGAGGTCCATTGGCGAAAGGGCCTCTGCTCTCGTGATCAAGAGTCTGCAGCTGCAGCATTCAACTGAGGAGTCCAACTAACGCGGAAGGCAGCTGCGAAAATGTACTCTCGCCCGCCCAACGGTTCCGTCGGACCTGATCATCGTCGTGACTTGTGGGCTTCCCTCACATCGACCAACATCTCAACCATCGATGTATAGGACTCGATGATTAACTTACATCTTGGTCGTAGATCTCTCTTCACGAGGGCCCTGAAAATTCCCGATGAATGCTGGATTTGGGTGGGGTGGGGGGAGGTGCGGGGAGGGGGGGGTGGGCGGAAGAGGAGCAACTGTGCGGCGGGGCGTGCGTCGAACGAAATGCGCCAGCGAGCTTCTGGCTTCCAACAACACTTTTTTCTCGATTGTTTCATACCCTCTAATTTTAGACCCTTACTTGGGATCACCCGCACAGGCTTTGGGCTGCCGAGCTGGCGAACCGTGAAGGATCATTGAACTGAGATGTGCAGAAATGATCGCTTTTTAGGGCGCGTGTCTTTGTACAGTATTTTGCAAAACTTCACATTTAGTCGACTTTTAACGATTCGACCCTAGGTCGACCTGGGGTCGACTGTATCGCGGACTGTAATCGAGGTGGTGTGCCTCGCTTCAAAGGAATCACACGGTCAATGAAAGCTCGATTTCGAAGTTGAACTTTTACAGAGGCCCCCGAGCCGCTTCCCTCCTCTGTAGGTTACCCGGTTGTGGCATCTTGACAGAGCGCCACGTGAAGGTGCGCGACGCGATGACACACAGGCTACAAATAGCCCCCGTGTTAAGCCTACTCCACATCATTTTTCGCACAATGACGAACATACAGCTGTTGCGTTTCCTCGCCATTATCTGGCAGGGCTACCTGCGACTCTTCATCCTGCCTGTTTCCGTCGCAATCGACACTGCTCTACCAACATTCGTCGCTGCCTTCTCGCTCCGTCAAACTCTGTTGCATTTTCGTATGACATGGAACGGAAGGGACGGGAGAAGAGTGTCGTGGCACGTATCCTGCCACGTGTTTGTTGGCGACGTCGGCAACCACTTTTACGATACTGAACGTGCAGGCGATGCGTTGTCCCCGTGTCGCTGATTTCGCCAAAATGCATTCGGATGGGCGGGCGGACACACGAGGGGGTTTTCGTGCTCGAGTTGTTTGTCTTGAAAGGTCGAGATAGGTTCAGGCTCATATCAGGTGGCCAAGAAAGGGGTAGGACACACGTGCGTTTAGCGAACAGATTGGCGACATTTGCGAAGAAAGTTACCACCAAAAGTTCGACCTTTTTTTCGAACTTTACTGTACAAAGTCACGCGCCCTTATACTGTCAGCAAGCCAGAGAAGTGGGGAAGCTTGGGTCTAGTTGGGTAGCGTTCAAAGTTGTGAAACAAGAAGGTCTCACTGTTTGTTTGCAATTCTTGAAGTTAAAGCGACATGACTTGATTTGCTAGAAACTCGTGTTACTTTGGGAAAGTCGCGCATGTGTCGAACTCGAACCCGGTCGTGAATAGGTCTTCAATTTCGAGAGCTGAAAATTAGGATTCGAATTTGTGGTCAGAGTTGCGATAAACGCAATCCTGACGTGACTGTTTTTCATTGGATGCAAAGATTTTTCAAGATCGTCAACACTCTCTGGGTCTAATCAAGTCATTTTCCACTCCCTTCCAGCACAGCTGTACCGCGCCTCGATGGTGAAATTATCAGGGGACAATATTTCCCCCCTTAATTTCACACTCTCTCGGGCAAAAGAAATTGCGGTTCAGAACTTGGGGGCGTGAAATTATCGAGAACAAGGTGAATTGTGTGGAAGTGTGCGAACAACCTTGCTGGTGGTTGGGCACCAGAAAAGGTGACAGCGAGGGAAGATGACTGACCAACGGATCGCAATTTGCGCCAGTGACCCCTGGATCCAGCCCCTCCCTAGTACTGTACATACAGTGTTTCCCCCCTCCACCAGCCCCTCCTGCAGATTAACCAAGTTGGATGGGATATTGAATGGACGCGGTTGGTCCGTTTGATTTGGAAAGACGTCACGCAGCCTGCTTCCAGGTGTCGACCACAGGCCACAATGATGCAGTCAAACCACAGCAAGGCTGCACTTTGCCAGCCCGATGAAAAAGCATTCATTTGAGATGCCTTGGTCGTGGCATGCCACGCTGGTCCTTGCTGATCGAGGTAAGGAGGACGATTTTTATTGGTGGAAGTGGCGATGCCCCTCGTGATCAGGTAGTACACGCACACATGCGGGAATTCAACCAATAACTTTGCTCGCTGCCGCGAACGACCTCCGGATTTGTCCAAAATTGATCAAGGCGGCTGCCGAAACCATCCGCTAGCCGATCACCGGGACCCGATCCCATTCATCCTCTGTCATCTCTTTTCATCCCAGCCATTGACCGCTCTACGCATTTGTCGTGCTCTTGATCCCCCGTCGTCGGATGGAGGCTGCGATGCGAGGAATCTGTTGGGGCATCAGTTTGTGCATGCGTCGGCAGAGCAACAGAAATGAGATGCACAAAAACTTTGATCCACATGCATTTCCGCCAGTTCAACCCATTTCCCTGCGCTCCGCAAACCCGATCCCCTCCCCCCCCCCCCCCCCCCCCCCCCCCACCCACCCGCTCCTTCCCAGCCTTGCATCGTGTGCGCTCGTCGAGCGTGCTTCCGCCCTCCTGCTGGCAATTGACATCTGTGGTTCATACGAGCAGTAACAGTAAAACGCGGGCGAATCCGCAACCGTCTGCGCGCGCTCGCGGAAGCGACCTGCCCGCGGGCAGAAAAAAATAAACCCCATCGCGACCGGCATGCGGCTAGGGAGCCTCAACCCTAAAATTTTAGGGTTGAGGCTCCCGAGCGGCATGCGGGTCGCGATGGGGTTTAGTTTTTTTTGCCCCGGGCAGACAGCTTCCGCCGGCTCCGCGTCCTGGTGGAAACGAGTTTCCACCAGGGGGGCACCTGGTGGAAATGCGCCCACCAGGGCTCGGATGGACTCCAGATTCTAAAAAGTTGGCGGAAACGTCTGATCACTTCCGCCTTGCTCCGGAGCTCGTGGTCTTTGCATTACTGTTGCCGCATGCGCGGTACCCCGTGACCAAAAGGCATTCGGTTCGGTCCCCCCGTGACCACCTGTCAGGCAGCCATGCATCCCCTAGACCAGACTTCAACCAAAACCAGAAGCATTTTCCCAAACCTGGAAGCTGATCTGACCCCGGGATGTCGGCGCTTCCGATTGCTCCATTGGTTTGTGCACGTCAGCATGGATCATCCAGTCCCGCACCGCAACGCATGGATGTGGTGGTGATGCCGAGTCACACTCGGGCTAGGCTGGCCGACTCGAAGCGGAGCAGACTGCGATTACGGACGAGAGTCTGCCCAGGCAGAAAAATACTGTAGGACCTCAATTGTTGCAGCAGAATTGAGGTGTCCAGTGTTTGCACTGATCGTTCGTTATTGTCGCATGAAAAGCCGTACACGTGTTCGTTAACGTGTACTAGAATCCACTCCGACCACACACCCCGGACGAATTTCAGCTAGGTTTCCTCCAGCTCCATATTCGGGCAGGTGTGAAACGAAATGCTGGCTGCCTGTTTGCTTCATGTCATTTTACAATCAGACCGCGAAGGAGTCGCAGTACCAACTCGGCTGACCAGCTCCGATGCTGAGCAAACTTGGATAAATATACTAACGATATTACCTAAAAATGGGGTGATAAAATACAAAAACCATGTGTACCGTTTAACGGTTGCCACATTCTAGAACGCCAATCGAATGCCTTGGGAGGAAAAGCGCCCCCCCACTATTCGAATAGAAACACCATTGGCTTGTACCACTGCACGAAGGAGAGACTTGAACGTCTCAAGTTCATCGTACCTCCTGTGATCAGATCATTATCACTTCTGCTCCAAGAGTCAAGAGCCTCTGCGTATTGCTTCAGTTTCGCATTCTTCTCTTAGAATCTCATTCCTGGTATCTCCTGCTGTAAACTCATCACTGATCCACACTGGACACTATATCTCGCCTGTCCCATTATCCGCAACATTTCGTTCCTCGCGACGCGCGTCTGGATAATCGAGGTCCATTTCTCTCGTTTTCTCTCCGCGATCTCCTGTACCCGCTTCAAGGTCGACATGCTGCACATTTCGAGCGCGCATTCGCACCAGGCGATGGGCAAGAATCACCAACAAATGATGCAAAAGCCACGTATACGCCACAAGCCTCCCCCTCTCGAGCACTTCCCCTCGCTTGAGTCCTCGAATTCCGGGCCTCCACCCATCGTTGCTCCCATGAGCTTCGGTCACCTTCTTTCCGCCGACTTGGTCGAAGCGCCGTACGTTCCGTCTCGCGTTCAACCCCTCGCGGAAGATTCGACGCATGGGTACGGCTCGCATGCGACATTCGTCGGAAATTGCGACGGAACAAGCGACGCTTTCGCGTGTTCCGCGCAGCCGAAGTCTCCTGCGCGACCGATGATCGACATCAACCACCCTCCTTCTTCGCTCCTCGAGTCTGCGTCACAGGTAAGACCTCAGGTCTTAAATAGCGTAGTCGCATCCCCTTTCCCTCCTCCTGCTAATTCGATTTCACTCAAACTTGTGAATCACGATACTTTGTGCCGCATCTATGATTTCTTTTTGCATTTGTCCTCCAATTTTGAATCTATGTCCTGGTTTTCATGATTCGTCTTCTCTACGTTTTCCCGTTACAGGAATCGTCCCAAGCCCCTGCGACTCCCGCAACGAGCGACGGCTCGAGACCCGTCGTCTGCCAGGGCGTCAACATGTTTTTCGGTCGCGAAGACGTCGCAGACGCGTCGCAGGGTCTCGCCACCTCGACAGCCGCTCGCACACACCCCACTCGCGTCCCGTCGTTCGCGAGCCGTCAGCAACCGATTTCCCTTCAACGAGCGGTTGCGAATCAACCACTGGAATGCCCGCAGGTCAGCGACATCGCGAATCGTTGGCAGTCGCTCGAGCGAATGGCGACAAACTACGAGCCTACTAACGTCGTTTCCGGCCCGCAGTCTCCCGCTCCTAAGCCCGTCCTCCCCCGAAGCTTTCGTCATAAACCCACGAGCCGGATGTCAGGTCCGGATATGAGTGAGATGGCCGTTGCTTCCTCTCCTGATTCACGCGCAATTCACAGCCAGCAGCATCAGAATCGACGTCCGCAAAATCTTTATCATCCGCAGATGCAGCAGCTTTGTCAGCAGAAGCACAGCCAGAAAACGGTCGGACTGCCAGTGGAGGTGACTGGAGGAGGCGACGAGTCGGGCGACCGTTGGGATTACAGCGAGGGGGACGACGCTGCTGCGACGCAAAATGATGGAATCGCGAAGACCTGCGCGCACTGTGGCACCTCGAAAACGCCCCTCTGGAGAAACGGCCCTCCCGGACCCAAGGTAATCACGTTATCCCGTTTTTCTTCCTAGCTTGTTAACTTCCATGCAAAACTCGCCGTTGACAATTGCATCGGCGTTTTCCCATTGCGGTCGGTGGAAGGCGCTAATTTTTGCTCCTCTCTCCCCACCTCTCTCCTTTGCCTGCAGTCACTGTGCAATGCATGCGGCATTCGGTTCAACAAAATCCGCAGCGGCAAGCGCAAGGCATCCCCCCAGGAAGCAGCCATGCTGCGAGAATACGAGACTGTCAACCCAGGCTTCGCCAAGCCTCTGCCCCAGTCACCTGTGCAGAAAGCGCGTACCAAGCTTCCTCGCGCTCCCGCTGGTCCGTTTTGTGACAATTTCGTGTCAGGCACTGGAATCCCGGCTGGTGTCAATAGCAGCAACAGCGACTGTGACAGTGAGGATGGCAGCCCACGGTCTCCGCTTGCCATGGTTCCCAATAATTTCTGCCACGGCCTTCCTGTCCCAGCAGGACTTTCTGCTACTCAGCGTTCCCTGTGGGTCGCCTCGTCTCCTCCTGCCACGGCCTCGGGTACACAAGGGGACCGTACCTGGGAAGCTGATAGCACGGGAGTTAGTTGCTTGACCCTCCAGGGGACAGGCCCATTCTCCTGCGCTGGAGCCACAGCGGTGAGTGGTGATGATAGGTGCTATATTCCTTCCCTTATGGACCTGAATGAAGCCAGTCCAGCACCAGACAGATCAGAGGAAGGTGAATTGTGTGGGGATATTAGGCGAATGCAGGCTAGAGAAGAAGCATGCCTGCTGTTTGGTAAGGAGCAACATGCAAGGAGAGGGGATGAAGATGATGTGGTGCTTGGAGCTGAGCTGCTTGTTTCACTTTTTGGCAGCAGTCCGTTGTAAATTTTGTGTACAGACTAGTGTCCATTTTCATGTAAATGCGGAATAAAGTAACAACAGCTTGATCTCTCAGAGCACATGTAGTAACTTTTTTTCTAAGAATAATTGTATATTTAGGGAAACTGGCCCGTGGGGTGTGCCATAGTATTAAATTTCATATCGTCTGTTCCACCTTTGTACGTATGTTATTATATCTACTTGATATCCTTACAAGAAACATGTAGTTAAGGCAAACCGTCCAAACGAGTGCATGATTGAACTCAGCCTGGAACGGGAATCTGGAACTCCAGCCGCACGGACGCAAACTCGCAGATGTGGCTGGGAGGCGTCCATGTCGTTTTGACCATGTGGGTCCACGTAAGCACTAGAGCGATCCTAGTCAGAGTACAGCCGATGTCTTGATTTTACAACGAATGATGTCTCTCAATCTGCCAGCCAGGCACCCCTTCGGGCTGTTTCATGGGACCAATCGGAGAGAGAATATGGATGATTTTGGTTCACTGGATCAGGTAATGTCGTCATCCAGACTGCCTTCCGTGCACGACCAGGTGCGGACCCACTTGAAATCATGATTGCGTCAACAGAGAAGCAGGATTTTTGCCACCTCGACGATGTGCATGCCACAGTCGCATCGGTCACGCGGCATGCCAAGCTCATTCTTGAAAACGTGGATGCTTTTTTCGGGGGACGGGCCAGGCATCGTTACAGCACAGTACAGCATTGTGATCAGGCGCACAGTTCAGATGAACCTATGGAATTCGTACACGTACAGAGAGCCTGCCCTAACGTTACTGTCAGGGCCCTACCCAAGTCCACCATTCATAAGGTCGGCCGTCAGATCCTTCAGACGTTTCCCTCAGGACAGACCGATCGTTTCAAATCAGCCGTACGGTGGTGGTGAAGTGTTCTGTGCGTACGTACACATCCCAGCCGTCGAATGATCAAGCATTCCTTGATCACGTCGACGTCGTCATGTTCGTGTGCGGGTGGGTGTGACATTCAAGAATCGAGATGTTTCCCTTGCATTGCCTTGTATCGTATCAGGTCAGACTTTGTGCCATCGCTAGAGGGCTTGCGGTTTCCATTTTCGTTTTCCGTTCCCCTGCCAATTGCGGAAGTGCGGTTTTTTTTTGCCCGACCACGGACGAGCTTCGGCTCAGGGCGGGGCACGAACCTATACGTGGATGCTCTTCAAAGAATGTCCCCCCTCTTTGTACCGGAACTCGGAAGGATTGGAGGGACAGCTATTCGCACTCACAACCGCACACTGAATCGTAGACCGAAGTGGATCCTGATGTGTGACTGGACCGAAAACAGCCCCATTTGTAGTTTAATGCGTTCCTCATACCCTGATATTACATGTATATTCATCAAGCATGGGTTCGTGGTTGGGCAGCCAGTCTCGGTGCTGCGCTACAACAGTTTGTATTGGACGAGTGCATGTGCGCAAACTCTGTGTCCCCCAACACACCCAACACACCTCCACATCCCCTACCCCTCTCCACATATATTCACATCACACCCATTCTGCCCCTCCCCACCCAGCCCCGATATCATGGTCACCTCACGGCAATCACCCTGTCCTGGGCGAATATCAGAGCCTGACCCTGTCCCGCACCATACATATCCTAAGAGATACTATACTGGAATGCTGTCCTCGTTCTGAGGAAAGAAAGTCATGATGCGCCTTTATCAGGTTTTGTTCCTCCGCCCCCTGCGCCAAACCTTTTGATTTTTCCGGGCCATTGGACTCTTTGTCATCCAGGTTTCGGGTTTAGGGAGTCGCCTCACGGTCTCACAGGCAAAGATTCAAATTTCAAAAGATTTTGAACCCCGTCTGTCAAATGTATACGAGAGCTTAAGTGTTTTCCTCAAGTGAGAACAGACAGGACAAATTGAAAGGCTGCCCTCGTCTGGGCACGTGAAATCCTTCTGTACACAACCTTGTACAACAGAACCAAATACTGTACCCGCAGTTCATTTCCTGTCAGACAGGCAGGGCAGGGCATCCCTCCCACGTCACTTCCGTCCGTTTCGAACCAAGATCAGAAGGCTCTAGCCAAACCTGGACCCTGATCTTGTCTGATGATGCCTGTGTTCGCGATTGGCCGATTGGTCTGTGTCAGCATGAATCAGCGAGTCACGCCGCATCAATGCCGGAATGCTGAGTCACTCTCAGGTGAGGCTGACTAGCTCACAGCACAGCAGACTGGAATGGGGAGTCACGGTAGTCTGCTGCGGCAGGCAGAAAAGGACCTTGGATATGAGCCGAAGTGCTGGCGCTTGGAGGAGGGTTTAAACACGGGATATCCGATAACATAACAAACCCTCATAGGTAGACGACACATTACGAAGCGTCGATTGTTTCTGGAATCACAGATTCTGGTGCTGACCTGAGGCTCAAATGAAACTTGTGATTCCACTAGTCCAGCTCGTTAGCCAGAATGTTGTGCTAAACCCTTACAGGCTCTCGAATAGGCGAAACACAGGTGTACTGTGATAGCCAGCAACCAGCAATCCGCCAGCAAGTCATGGAGGCTGGAAAGCACCGAAGCAGAAATCGGTCATTGGGCAATGCTGCAGCAGACATCGTCACATCCTCCCTCTCTCTCCCCTTCTCGCTTCGCCTAGGCGCGCTTGATCAACCGACCTTATCCTTTCAAGACCCCTCCCCGATTGCTTCATTTCCCCAGCCTTTTCTTACCTTGTCCTTGATCATTCATTTCTGATTATGAGCCTTGTCTTACATTCCCCTTGATCGTTCGCTCATTCCTGATCACAGTAGCTACTAATCGCCCCAGCAACCTTCGAATAGCCTCCCGCGCTCCAATAATTTACAGCATAGTCCGATCGCATCATACCCGATCTTCCCCCTCCCCGCGGCGCGCGTCTCGTGCACTCTTCGGTCCGTCGCCCTGCTTGTCTATCTTGATCTCCTAATTATCTGAAATTCCGACATGCTGCATGTCCCCAGCTCGAATCCTGCAATGGCCGGGAACTATAATCACGCTATGAAGAAGCCATGGAAAGGGCACAGGCCTCCTGCTCTTGAGTCTTTTCCCTCGATTGAATCCTCGGATTCCGTACCTCCAGCGCTCGTTTCCTCCACGAGCTTCCGTCACTTACTTTCCCGCCCCCTGGTCGAAGCGCCTTGCGATCCGTCGTACCCGCCGTCCGTTTCCGAGATCTCCAGAGCTCCCTTAATTTTCCATCGTCCGATTAGCGTCCATGTCTTTACTGAAGACGCGCAGGAGTACGGCTCTCATGCGCGACAGGGGATGTCGGCTGATGGGGGCTGTGTGCGTGAGGCGCATGCGACATTTCAAAGCGACGGGGCAAGCGATGGAACGAGCGACGTTTTCGCGTTTTCCACGCAACGGAAGTCCTCACAACCGATGATTGACATTAACCACCCGCCTTCTGCGCTCTATGACTCGACGTCACAGGTAAAGTCGCAGACAATCTCTAATAACGTTTCTCTAATAACCCGATCAATGGGAAATCCCTACAATCACTCTCTTCGTCGCGTGCGTTTTATTTTCTCGTTCCTTTTTTCATTCCGTGATGCCTCAATATTCAAGATCCCTTTTTCACTCTGCGTAATTTCCTACAGGATTCCTCACAGGCCCCTGCGACTCCCGCGGCGAGCGACGGCTCCAAACCTGTCGTCTCCCACGGCGTCAACATTTTTTTCGTTCGCGATGACGTCGCAGACGCGTCGCTCGGTCTCGCAGCGGCTCGCACACACCCTGCCCTCGTACCCGTTACTGCCGTTTCTGGCCCGCGGTCACCCGCTCCTAGATCCGCTCTCCCCCACAGCCTTCGTCATAAAACCGTTAGCCGGATGTCGGGTCCCTATGCGATCAACGATCCGACGGTCGCGAATGCATCAGGATCGCATGAACCGCACAGCCATCAACAGTCGCGCCACATGCATGATCATGAGCCGCAGATGCCGCAGCTTTATCAGCAGAAGCACGTTCGAAAATCGGTATGCGTGCCTGAGATGGCGCAGGAGAAGGTGACTGATGGCGACGAATCGCCCGACCGTTGGGACTCGAGCGAAGGAGACGACGCGGCTGCAACGCAGAGTAATGGAATCGCGAAGACCTGCGCGCACTGTGGCACGTCGAAAACGCCCCTCTGGAGAAATGGCCCTCCTGGACCCAAGGTAATCACATCATCCCTTTTTTTCGCATGAGGTGTAGACATGCAAATATTCTGACTGGCATGTCGACATTCTAATACAATCGATGGCATCTGTTGCTAATTTTTCCTGTGTTAATTTGTTTTTCCCTCTCTATTCGTTTCTGCAGTCACTGTGCAATGCATGTGGCATCCGGTTCAACAAGATCCGAAGTGGCAAACGCAAGGCATCCCCCCAAGAGGCAGCAATGCTGCGAGAATATGACTCCGCAGACCCGGCCTTCTCCAAGCCGCTGCCTCAATCGCCAGTGCACAAAGCACGCTCCCGGCTTCCTCGCCCTCGTGCTGGTCTCTTTGTTTACATGCCTTCGTCATGCTGTGAAGGCCTTCCATGTGCTGCCACCAGCAGCAACAGTGACTGCGGTAGCCCAGCAGGAGAAGGGCCAGAGGAGGGTGAAGTGTGCGATGATTCGACGCCGATGCATGCTGGGAAGAAAGCTTGTCTCTGGCATGAGGAGCAGGAGCTTAAGAATAAAATGGATGAAGATGATGTGGTGCTTGGAGCCGAGCTCCTAGTCTCACTGTTTGGCAGCTGCCCATTGTAAATGCTGTGTGGGCAGGGTAGCCTCTCAAGCAGCTTACTGTCTGCTTGGTTGTAAAATAATTCCTGTACAGTTAGTTTCCCCTTAAGACAGTTAGTCTCCACCTAAAATGTACATTGTATCCCTTCTGAATAAAGTCTAGCATCAGTTAAATTCAAGGATCACACAAAGCTTCAGTTCTATCGTTTTCTGACGACTCCAGAAAAATACTTTTGTTAATACCATTTCCACAAGCCAAATGCCTGAAGTCTGTATACATAATGCAGAATAAGCGCATGCGATATTTGTTCAAGGCGCTTTTGTTCCGTGGTGGCGGAGACTTTGGAGTTCGATGGTTCACTTGCGTGTAGGGAGCAAGTACCAGGTAGGTATGACTCATTCCTAAGGTCCTCCCTCGTCATCCTGAACTCATTTTGCCAATCATATCTCGCCAAGTAGGCGTGATTACTCACCAGCCACCTGGTTCTAGCGCCAGTTCAGCTTGAACTGTAATTGCCATACCGTCGCATGACCTGGAATGAGCCGAGACGCGTACTGTACTCTGCGCCGCGCCGCACCTACAGTATTTCCAGCCCCATCCACATTTCCCCTTCCCCAGCCTCACATGTCGAGAGAAAAAAATTCACCACCTACGCGGTTCGCACGGTTCGCTGCTGCGCCCACCACCTCGGTTCAACACAAACCAGCAACAATTTTGCATCCGTCGTGAGAAAAAAACTACCAGCGAACCTTCTTAGTTGTTCGAAGCACCAACAAAAGGATGTCTCACGGTCTAGTCGCCACGCACGAGCTGAAACTGCAGTCGCCCTGCGTGTTTTCCAATTGCCTGCAGTGTCTACCCTCCCACTCGAGTGTTTCCCACATTCCCATAGAATGCTTACGAGTCTGCAGCAATTCGCTAGAAGTGTTAGAGGGCCCTACGACAGCAAGGGCCCTCGCGAAATGTTAGACTTGGCAGGTTGACGACCGACGACCTGGTCTACTCGGCACCGTCGCACAGGTTCGATGGCAGTCAAGTGTGACTACGGGTGAATGCGAGCTGCAGTAAGGAATCTGCTGAAGTCGGTGCTGGGAAGTAGAGTCGTGGGAGTCTTTGTGTGCTTCCTTATGAGGCACGCCACTCCCAAGCTGAGTCGGATGGAGTTGCGTGCTCGGAAGGTTTTCGCTGCTGAGTTGGATGGAAGTTTGGCGGGGCGCGTTCGCCAACTCCCACAGCACTTTCGTGTGGGTTGGGTTACTCGCAGCGCCCTCGCTACCTTTTGTGAACGCTTGCTTGCCTTTATATGTTTGTGTTTGCTTGTGTGTTTCATATATTCTATTTTCCTAGTGAAGTCCAATCTCTACTCAAATTCTCACTTAGTCATTTGAGACCAACGCTACCCAAACGCTACCGAATTCCTAGCGCAACATCATTCCCATAAGCAGAATCTCTCTCGCCGTCGTAGTGCTCTCCATAATATTCCTTCATGGTGCGGTGAGCGTGGAACGAACACGCATAGAATTCCGTCGTCGACTTTCTTAGCGTTCGTAAACTCGCCTTGGCGTGCGGCGTTAGTGAAGGGCGCATATTAAATTAAGTTGAACCTCTCTTAATTTCCCTCCAGTTACGTTCTCGGACCCAAGGATAGGGCGTTTGGTAATTTATTACCACTCGTCTGAGGACCCTTGTGAGGTGACCCCGAGACGAGGGATTTAAGGAAGGAACAATTTATTTTAATTTGTGGCACCTTATCGAGGCGTCGTAGAGGATGAGTTCGGAGGAGGCGGACGTTGAGGCCGTTAATTTTCGCGCACTAGAGGAGGAGCTCGTGGCACGTCGTTCCCGTGGCGAGCTTAGTAATGTAGATTACGAGCTCATGTTGGAGGGATTACGCTCTCGTCAGCGTCGCGATCATCCCTCGCCACATGTAGAGCAAGCTGCGGGAGGCACTAGTGCGTGGGACATGGCTGTCAATGACGGAGGTGACGATGACGAGGAGGTTGATGGGTTGATGTCGCGTGGGGTCCTGCGAGGACCAACTCGGTTTAGTACGACTAGCGTCGGCGGTGTACAGGAGCGTGTTCATCGTGCGGCGGCGTCACACGAGCGTACGAACTTAGGACGACAGAGCGCTGCTGGAGGAGGGAATGCGGAGGAGTACGATAGTGGAGCTATGCCGGGCATTACCCCGATTGGATCGATGTCGAGGGATGAGGGAATAGCCCCCAACTATGGCTACTTCAAATTCACTCCAGACAGAATCGTCGTGCCTAAGCCGCTCGAAGGACGCCACGACCTATCGACGTGGGTAGAATCGATCGAGCCGCAGCTTGAGATCGCTCAACTAAAGCGATTCATTGACGGTACCACTCCTATTCCACCAACGCAGGCAGTTGCGCATCTCACTCAGTTCCGCGCAATGCAGTTACTGACGTTCACCACGATTTCCCGATGCTGCTCCCCAACCGTACAGATTGCCCTTAAGGGGTGTCGCATGAAGGTAGATGCCGGCTATCAGGCATGGCAGTTTATTATGCGCACGTACATGGCGAAGGACGATCTGTACATCGGTCAGTTAGAGCAGGCGCTCACTAACCTCGAGATGGGTGAGCACGAGTCCGCTACGTCCTATTGCAACCGTGCGCAGCAGATCCTAGTGAACCTGAGGATGGCCGGCGTCGATTACTCGCAGGCGTCGTACATTACTCACGTCGTGAAGGGGTTGCCGCAGCAGTACAACCTCTTACGCAGGATGCTGAAGCTGCCGCAGGTACGCAAGGAGTTGGACGAGGACACCCTCGCTAGCTACATTATCGAGGAGGAGTGTACGCTGGCAGCGGAGGGACGGAAGGACCAATTTCTTCCCCAGGCCAACCAGGTCTTTACCAAGAAGGGTAAGCCCCAATCCCAGCAGACTTCATCCCCTTCCCCTCCCACTACGGCACAGCAGCAGCAGCCTAAGACTGGGGGTGGGGTTGGAGGTGGAGGAGAGAAGTGGAAAGGGGCTAAGGATGGTCCGCCAAAGGGGGGGAAAGGTGGCTTCAAGGGGAAGTGCTACGTGTGTGGACAGACAGGGCATGTTGCTAAGTACTGTCAGCAGCGGGCGGATAAGGAGGCAGACACGGGTGGAGAGGGTTCTGGAGGCAGCGGCGCGAGTGGCAAGGGGGACGATGGCTCTAAGGGGAGCGAGTTGTCATCATGTGCGATGGTGAAGCCCGTTGTAGAGCAGACTCCTCTTGTCGTGCTGGAGCCTGAGGCCGGGGAGGGCTTACAGGCTCTTGCAGCTGCTGTGAAGGCGAACCCGAGCGTCGTGCTACTTGATAGTGGATGCTCCCACCATCTCATGGGAGATCGTTCTGCCTTTGTGGAGATGAGCAGCGGCGGTAGTATCAAACAAGTGAAAGGCTTCAACGGCGCGCTTCAGGACGTGCAGGGGCGAGGCACAGTCGCTCTTCTTGGAGAAGGGGGCAGGCGTCTCTTGGTGTCTGACGTGCTGTACGTACCTGGAGTGCAGGCGAGTCTTCTTTCTGCTGGGCAGCTGCGTGATAGTGGTGTGCAACTGCTGGATGCAGGCGACGTGACTCTGCTGCGGGCACCAGATGGGTCACTTCTTGGGCGTGCAGAGTACAAGGGGCGTGTTCTCTGCACGAACTTCCAACCGTGTTTGTCGCAGCAGCAGGAAGGCGAAACGGTGGCACTTCGTACCTTGACGACGGGCGTGCGGTCTAAGGTGGACATGTGGCATGCGCGTATGGCACACGTTGGTATTGATGCCATCGAGCGCACTGCGTCTCACGGGTCAGTGAAGGGCTTGGACCTGGAGAAGGGGGGCAAATCAGGCATACCGTGTGTCTCCTGTGTTGGGGGGAAGATCACTCGTCATACCTTCCCGCCAGTGGGTGCGGAGGAGGATGAGTTGCTTGGGGTGGTGCATGCTGACCTGTGTGGCCCTTTCCGTGAAACAGCTAAGGACGGCAGCCGCTACTTCCTGGTGCTGAAGGATCGCAAGTCGCGGTACGTCTGGGCCTACCCTTTGGCTCAGAAGAGTGATGCGCTGGCGGCGTTTCAGAAGTGGCTCCCGATGGCAGAGCGGCAGTGCAAGACCACGGTGCAGGCGCTGCGCACTGATCGGGGTGGCGAGTTCCTGGGGCATGACTTCACGCTCTTCCTCGACGGCAAAGGCATCATCCATGACCTCACGTGCCCGTACACGCCGGAGCAGAACGGGATGGCCGAGAGGGAGATGCGCAGCATTGTGGAGGCGGTGCGGACGATGCTACTGCACATGGGTGTACAGCATCATTGGTGGCACCTGGCGTTGGCGCAGGCCGTCTGGGTGCGCAACCGCGTGGAGCACGCCTCGCTGCCCTCTGGTGTGACGCCGTACGAGCTCGCCTTTCGACACAAACCCGATGTCAGTATGGTGCGGGTATGGGGCTGCATGGTGCAGTACATGTTGCCTCAGTCGCAGCGGGGGGGGAAGCTGGCACCTAAGGCTCGCTGGGGGTTGCACTTGGGGGTGTCCGCAGCGAGCAAGGGCTGGACCGTGCTGGACTTGGAGTCCAACCGCCTCATCACCACTGTGGAAGCTGTGTTCTATGAGACCATGTCCTTGGCAGGATGGAAGGCGTGGCATCGGCAAGAGCATGGGGGGCGTCCAATGCCCTATGAGCCCCTTCCCTCTCACTTCCCGATCACTCTTGAGGAGGCGGTGGAGGAGGAGGAGGTGGTCGCACCTCCTGCTATGCCCTATGTCCCTACCTCGGTCCCCACCCCACCTCCGCCTTCAGTTTACCCTCGTGTGGTTCCCCCTGCCCCACCTTCTTCATCCTCACCCCCCTTGGCTTCCCCTCCTCCTCCTGTTATTCCCTCTCCCCTTCCACCCTCCATCCCTCCTGCACCTGCTCCACCCTCCTCTTCATCTTCCACGGCGCCGCCCGTTGGTGAGGGGGGGATCGTGGTGCCACCGTCTGTGGAGATCACCGACGGGCAGCGCCTTGAGACTGAGCAGCTGCAGGACGAG